TAGGAATATTCACTTTGTATCACTGCTGTGCTCCTGAATGGTTCTATGAAAAAATAGTGGATTTTTATAAATCATATTTTCTGTGTATTAGGGATGTGAATTCTTTTGCAGAATGTGAATTCTGCAAAAGAGTCAATATGGCCCCTCACCTGTTTGGTTTTGCAAATGTCTGTTTGAGATATACCGTTAAGACGCTAGCTGCAAGTGGAAAATACCTATGCCAAACACTTGAGGAGTAATAAAGAGTACTACTTTATTGGTGGATCTGGTTCGGCCCTGATATAGGTTTAATTTTCAATAAAACAACTTCTCATTTTCTTTGGAAATAGAACTGACTTTCTCTCCTCCTATGTCTGTCTCTTTCACCCTAATCTAAAAACTCCCCTACACAAGCATCTACTTCCTCTTAAGCTTTTTAAGCTTCTTAATGCCTCATCTTTCTGATGTGATGTGTTTGGGTTTTGTTTTCTTTTAGAGTTTTCGAAGAACTCCAGGAAGTGGCTACAGAGTAAAGTAGGATCCTGATACTGGTAGGGAGGCTTCTGCAATAACGATCTAGGGGTGACCAAAGTAGTATTGATTACAAGCAAACCTTGAAATGTGATCAACCTACAGCTCAGTTCAGCTCAGCTCTCTCCAGTTCCTCCATGGGAGCTTTGTTCTTCCATTTGAAGGGAGTAACTAAGACTGCAGACATCCTCCACAGTAGAAAAAATTTGGTTTCCAGTCACATCAATTAAAAAGAAAAATTTGGGACAATCTGTTCCCTCCTCCCACTTTTTCAAAGGCAAACAGGAAACCTTGGGATATTTGTGTGTAATAGACACTGCTTGAGGCTGAGCAGTCACTCATCTTTCTCAAGGGTCCTTCCTTGCCTCCCTTTCCCCAAACGTTCATATATTTGCTCTAAAGACCCCTTCAATTTAGGTCCAGCTGACCCAAGCTGGGGAAGGTTATCTTTCTTTTTTACCTCTCCTTCAGGTGAGAAACAAGGCTGACAAATTTATGGATTTCAGTTATTTCTTTAATAAATTACTCCCTGGGATGTGATTCCAGGAAAAAGATGCTTTAGGGGATAAAGGTTTTAGAGAAAGTGGTGACTAGGCAGAATTATGCATTGTGGTGAAAGATACTCCACACTCCACGTTAGGCACTTCTAGGAGACTAGACATTGTCAGAGAAATACCCACAGAAGTGGACAGGGGTTGGTAAAATGTCTTCCATGGACATTATAGTGATACAGCACCTAATGATGAGAATGCATTCTGAGAAATGCATCATTAGGCGATTTCATCGTTGTGCAAACATTAGAATGCATTTACACAAACCTACACGATACAGCCTACAACACACCTAGGCTGTGTCATCTAGCCAGTTGCTCCTAGGCTGGTTACAAATCTGTGCAGCATGTTACTGTACTGAACATTGTAGGCAATTGTAACACAATGGTAAGTATTTGTGTATCTAAACACAGAGAAGGTACAGTAAAACATGGTGTTATAATCACATGCGGTCTATCATTGACCTAAACAGCATTATGCAGCGCATGACTATACTTTAGGATAAAGAGAGAAACACTTTTTTTCCTCCACTATTCCTGCTTGTTTAGTGTTTTAAACAGAACAAGTAGTGCTGAAACAACCTGGAGAACTTGTCAGTCGTTTTTGAGAATCTAAAATATTTTTTTAGGAGAACAATTCCCACCACTTCTTTTTATGACATTCTTTATGTCTCTTGAGGGAACAGGAAAAAATGACTGAGTATTTCATAGGGTGTGGAGGAGAAAGGAGTCTTTCTGATGTGGTTATACAATTTCTTCCTTTTTCGACATGAGAAAACTGAGGCCCAGAGAAGTAAAGGAAGTCACCGTAGATCCTACAGTGAGTTTGCACGCATGACCCAGGCCAAAGCTCAGTTTCCCTTTTTGGCACTCTATAATTACATGGGAATTACCTTCGGAGGATGTGTTCCAGGCCCTGGAACCACACGCATCAGCCCCTCCCACTCCCTGTGCTATAGCTCATTGCTCACCTGCACTTTGTTCTGTGCTGGCCCGGATATAGTTGGTTCGCCGAGCTGCCCCTGGGCTCCTCAGAGAGCATTAGTCATGAGCTCCTGTCTCAAGGGCCCTGATTCATTTCTAGCCATGATTGCATCAGTGTGCATGCGTATCTCTTTGTGAGAGATGTGAGTCCATGTTGCATGTGTGGGAGTTTGCCAGAATTACAACCTTCTGCCCCTTCCTAGCCATGGCTAAAGAATAAAGCAAAGAAGAAAGAGACATCCACTTGGGGCTTTTTACAGACTAGAGGTCCTGTTTACTTAAAGGTTATAAATGCTGCTGTAGGAAATGTTAAGAATTAAAATCATGATTACATTAGGCATCTGCTTTGCTTTCCGGTGAGCCTAACTAGCATTTGGAGTCAGTGAATAAAGTGAAGGCAGCATTTTAACTGTCTCCTTGCAAAAGTGGCTGGGCAAGGATACTCAGGCTTGTAGGAAAGTGCATTGAGATCTCAAGATAAAAGGTTTTACTTGAGGGAAAGGTTATTGTTATTATTTTGAACTTTCAGAGTGGTTTCCTTATTGCATATTTATGATATTAATATAATCTTAATAGAAGGTTTAATGTGCAAGTTGCTAAGCACATTGTCCAATGGAAAAAAATAAATTATACAACTATCGCAATGATAAGGCAGTTTTCTACTACATTTAATTATCTCTTTCTTAAACGGAGAGACTTGCAGAAATCTTAAAAGCATACTGGAAAAGTTTCAATAATAAAATAGTTTAATTTTAAGATTTGTGTTTCAGGTAAATACCAAATGATACGGGCCTTTACAAAATATAAAATAAAATATAAAATAAAGTGAGCTTAAAATTTTTCATGATTATTTGATATCTATTACTGCCGGAGAAACTGGATGTTGAAATGGACGAGACTGAAAACTGAAATAGATATATTCTTCAAAACAGCGTGTGAAAGAAGCAAAGGATATGGAGCTCTTTAGTGAAATAAATCTGAATTTGGCCTAAACCTATTTTAGCACTAGGCTTTGATGTAGTTTTGCACTATACGTAACTTAAATGGAAAAGTGTGGGCACCATTCTTCTTAAATAGTTGGAACTGTGGCTTTGGCCCTGTAGATCATGTTTTATCAATTCATACGAAACAGAGATGAGACCCACTGTGTTATTGGATTGAAGTATATTGTATAAGCAGTTTCCTGCTATGTAAGTCAGTTTCTTAACCATGTGAATTGATTCAGCTACATATTTACAATCTCCAGCTTTTGCAAGGTCCTCATGGCAGCCCATATCCTATGCTTCTTTATTCCAAGAGAATGTTAAAAATTTTCACTGTTCTCACTCTGAACAACCTTACGCTTGGCTCATGATATTACTTTCTAATTCACAGAAAAAAGTATAGCCTGTCAGGGAGGAACTCCCTCAATTTCTCCCTTCCCACCCCAGAAACAGTGACAGCCATACCCCTCCTTTCTTCCTTCTTTCCCTTCAAAATCCTCCTGTGTCCAGACCTGGCCCCTCCACCTGTGCTTTGGGCTACATCACTCCTACTCCCATCTCTTCAGGAGGTTTGCTCTTTGTATTCAGTGTTCTCAATCACTCTTTTTCTATTGCTTTCTTGTTCTCAGCACAGAAACATACTTAATTCTTTCCCATCTTAAGAATATTTTTATGCATTTTCCTTAACCTAGGGTATCCTAGCTACTATCAAGTCTTCTGTCCACATACACACAGCATAGTTTATACTTAGTACTTCTACTCCCTTATCTTTCATTTATTACTCAATTTAGTCCCATCTTTCTTCTACCCTTACCACTCCCTAGGAAATGCTCTCACCAAGGCCATCCAGCATCTTGTAAATTCTAAGTTCAACAGCCTTTTGTTAGGCTTCAGATGGCTTGACTTTAAGGTAAATGCTTCAATCATCTTTGACTCCTCCCTTTCTCTCACTTCCCACATCTGGTCCCACAGCAAATTGTGTCAGCTTTACTTTGAAAATCTGTCTGGAGTTTAACTACTTCTCACCATCCCACTGCCACCTGGTCCAAGTTACTATCATTCTTGCCTGAATTACTGCAATGGTTTCTTAACTTGTCTCACTGCTTCTGCCCTCACCCTCCTCCACCCTGTTATCAACCCACAACCAAAGTTGAGGGCTTAAATTAGATAATGCTATTTCCTCTCCTAACACCCTCCAATAACTTCCCATCTCGGAGTAAAAGCTATAGTTCTGAGTATAACGCACAGGGTTCTACATGATCCTCCCCTTCTGCCTGTTTTCATCTTCTATTAGTCCTCTACTTCCCCAGAGCCAGGACTAGCTCAAGGCCAGAGAGATGCCTAGGGTGCGAGATGAAAGAATTAAGAAGGTGCTCACTCTCAGGGGTCAGCTGCACTATCAACACCTTCTAAAAATCGCTCTTCTTGACATTCTCCTTTCTTTGCTTCTGTTGCCTGGTTTTCCTTCAGCAACTTTGACTTTCTCCTTAATTCTACACCTCCCACCCTCATCTAAGAGCATGATATAGTCATGGTTTTGTTAGATTTTTGCAGTGCAGATACAGAGTTAGATTGCTTGGGTTCACCTTTTGCTTCTGGAACCATGTGGCCACAGATAAATTATTTAAACTTTCTAAGCCTCAATTTCCCCATTCGCAAAATTTTAATCATACTGCCTACCCCATAGTATTGTTATGAAATTTAAATCAGTTTAAATTAAATCATGTAAGCATTTAGTACAATACTAAGCACATAGTAAATGTATAATAAATATTGTAATTAGTAATTATTTTTAGTAGTATTAATATTACTCTTGTACCTGTCCCCTTAAAGCCCAACATCCTCTCTGTTAAGCCATTTGAGTTTTTCCAGAACAACTGCAAAATATGAATTCCTGGTACATAAGTGAGTAATTTTGTCTCTAAAAGGTAGAGAAGAGAACAGCATATTTTACATTTCCTTTTTTTTTGTAGGAAAAATGTTACAGATCACACTTTTGTCAAGAAGCCAAAGAACAAAGTTGATTAAAACATTATGCCTGGAAATAAAGGGGAACAGGACATCAGCAAAATTCTTTTTATCAATTCACATGTTGAAGACATGTAAGATCAATGGAACACAAAATGGAAGAGAAATCATAATCATATGTGTGAAGACTAGCAGGTATTTTTGCCTGTGCACATCAACGGGCTGTATTGTGGCATATACATGAAAGGGTGAAGTGCTTGATGTCTTTAGGTTATATTTTCCTAAAACTCCATGCTACTAGGAGAGAGGATTTTGTTTAATTAACAATTATTTCAGGAGTCATACTGTGAGATGCAGTGTTAGGATGCATACTTGGGGGGCACTAGCTGTGGGTTCAGCAAGGAACTAGAAGATCCTTCTGCCTGGAATACTCTCTCCCCAGATTTTATCATGACCATCTCCTTCTTGCCACTAGGGTGCCCGTTTCCTATTCAGAGTCAGAACTCTCCATCTCATTTCTCTGTTTTTTTCTTTCTCAGACCTTATTGCCCTGAAATTATTTTGTTTACTTTTTGCTTTCTTGTTTACCATCTGTCCCCTTTCTCATTTCCATGAGAAAATGAGACTTCTTTGTCCCTAGAATCTGTAATAGTGCCTGGCTCTTGAAGACATACAGTCAATGCTTGCTGAATGCAATAGGTCGTACCTGGTTATCAAAGCACTCATAACTTTATTCCCAGAGAATAACTGGTGATTGACAATATGCTTCCTTAACTTGATCGTGTTGAAAGAAATAGTTAAAATTTGTGAATATGACAAAACCACAGCCAGAATGTTGTGATTTCAAGATACTGTGAAAAAAAAAATATGTGTTTACCCTATAAAGGTCCACAGGATACCAAGCAGAAGGTCTCATACAAGTGTTGAAATGAGGGAAGAAGTGGAATCAGTTTTTTAAAGATTAATGAGATAATACAAACAAGCACCCAGAGAGAACAACGCAGTGCAACTTCATCAAGCTTCCTTGGAGCTTCACCAAGAGTTTATGCACCATAGTACACTCAGGTTTTTAAAAAGTGTTACAATATTTCAGAATCAGTTAAAGGACCCTATAAATTCCTCCCAGAACCCATTTTCTTTCCTTCTCTTTCAGAATTTACCACTATACCAGAGAGTTAGAGCTCGCTAAAAAATCTAAGTTGGGGTCGTATGAAGTTTCGGCTAGAGAAATATAAATTGAAACCACTTTTGGATCAAGGCATTCAGAGCAAGGGTGGTCACCCCCGTCCTTCTCTGATGTGGTGCATCTTGCAGGCCATGTGCCCCAAATGTCCAGATACAAGTGCCACTTGACTCGTATCACACTCACATCAGATGAGGAATATGTCTTTATAAGCCAATGGGATTTTGGGATGTGCTTATTGACACTCCATAGCCTATTCTTTCCTGAGTAACATAGACATAACTGCTCATTTGGGTGTTTATTATTTATTGTTTTAATAACATTGCTGCATATATATGATGTACAGATAATATTCAGGTTATTGTAATGTTTTGAAATATGCTGTAAGTGGTATGATACGCTAATATAGTTGTGTAACTCTCCCTCTCAACATGAATTTTTGGGGATATATCCATGTTGATACTTTTAGGCTTAAGTTCATTTAGTAAACATTTATTACAGTTCATTCATTCATTCTCTGTTGATGGACATTTAGGCTGTTTGTTTTTTTCTGTCATAAACAGCGCTGAAATGAATAGTTCATGTCTCCTCCTGCATGTGGTAGGAGTTCCTGGAGAGTTTATATCTAGAAGAGGAATTGCTGAATTCAAGGGTATGTGCAACTTCAGTTTTACCAGGTATTGTGAAATTGCTTCCTAAAGTTATATCAAAAAAACTTGCCATTTTTCTTTAATGTCATAATTCCAGCAAACACCATTTCTATGATTTCAAGTAGCTTTTTCAAATTATGTATCCTCAGTGATATACACTCAGTACCTTGAATAGATTGAACCAAGTCCATCAGGGTAAAAAAACCCTACATGGATTTTAACGTTAAAGATGAGCTCTTGGATATTCTTTAGCAGACTAAACTGTGGTGCAACTGGCTTAATTATTGAGGTTTTTACTCTTTTCTAACAGGTAATTGTCTTGGCTTGTTGGAAAAATAACTTAATGGTATATCATTGCACATATTTCAAAACCACATGCAAAAGAGTATAATAAAATAATAACAAATGCTTTCAAGATGTAAATGCAACCAAAAAGAGGCTTAAGAATTTATTTCCCATTAGCTCTAGTTCAAACATTCAAACGTTCCACTTTTGAGAGTGATATGCTTGTCAATCTAGCATCTGGCAGAACACTGATGGCATCTCTCAGCAAGATAACTCTCCAAAGTTATCTTGAACCTGTGATGGTTCGGACTCTACAGAACTATCTGAAAAGCCATCAATTATCAGCTGCTATTCCCAACAACCTATAATTGTGAGTTGGTTAAGATTTACTTTACTTTACTTTTCTTAGACCAGATCTTGCTCTGTCGCCCAGGCTAGAGTGCAGTGGTACAATCTAGGCTCACTGCAACCTCTGCCTGCTGGGTTCGAGTGATTTTCGTGCCTCAGCCTCAGAAGTAGCTGGGACCACAGGTGTACACCATCATGCCTGGCTAATTTATGTATTTTTATTAGAAACGGGGTTTTGCCATGTTGGCCAGGCTAGTCTCGAACTCCTGGCCTCAAGTGATCTGCCCACGTTGGCCTCCCCAAGTGCTGGGATTATAGGTGTGAGCTACCATGCCCTGCCAGGATTTTCTTTCTTTTTTTTCTTTATTTCTTTTCTTTTTTTTTTTTTTTTTTTTGAGACAGAGTCTTGCTCTGTCGTCCAGGCTGGAGTGCAATGGCGCTATCTCAGCTCACTGCAACCTCTGCCTGCCAGGTTCAAGTGATTCTCCTGTCTCAGCTTCCCAAGTAGCTGGGATTACAGGTGCGTGCCACCACGCCTGGCTAACTTTTGTATTTTTAGTAGAGACAGGGTTTCACCATGTTGGTCAGGCTGGTCTGAAACTCTTGACCTCACGTGATCCGCCTACCTTGGCCTCCCAAAGTGCTGGAATTTCAGATTTGAGTGAGCCACTGTGCCCGGCCAGATTTTCTTAATTGAACAAAAGAGTAGGATGCAAAACTAGACCTATTCTAAAGATGCAAACAATATCATCTCTTTCATGGATATGAAACAATTATTATTACTGCTGTTAATGTAAGATAATATGTTTAATTTTAATATTTTGAATATTTTTGATGAATTTTCTAAGCCTAAATTGGTTTTCTACATGTATGCCAGCATTCATATCTTTAAGAATTTAAGAAATTCAACCCAAATGACAGGATCAGTCACAGGGATCGTCAATGCCTATGGCTTCAACTGTCCCTCTTGGGGTCATGCCAACTGAATCAAATCTCTGGACACCTCCAGACCAGATCTCTGTGCTGATCACATTCCTAAATATCCAACATGATACTTGACAGCTTCACCCAGCTACAGCCGACTCTTCAAATTCAGCAAGTCCAAAGTTGATCTCATCATTTTTCACTCCAGTTCATTTTCCTTCTTCAGGCAATGCTTAGATAACAGTATCACCATCTATCTAGTCACTGAACGCAGACATTTTAGGTCACCTTTCTCCTCACATGTCACTTCCTTTTGAAACTATCCCCCTCACTCCATCTACTATCATTGCTGGCTCTGATTCAGGCCTTCATTGTCTTCTGCCTGGACTATCACAGTAGTCTCATATTTATTATCTCTGTCTCCATTCTGGTCCCTGCCAGTCATCCATATTTCTTCCAAAAAGAAATTTTAATAAATGCAAATGCCATTCACTAATATTGCTTACTATTATTTCATGGCTACCTGTTTCTTTGCAGGTAAAGGCTTTTTTTTTTTTTAAATTTTTTTATTTTAACCAGGTCTTGCATAATCTGATATTTGCAGACATCTTATTTCCTAACAGTTTTTGGCTGGACAAGAACACAGGATGCGTATGAAATGTCTTGTAATTCCCTAAGTCCATCTTGCCTTCTCAGCTACCTTGCCTTTGCACATGCCTTCCTTCCAACCAGAAGATGGTCTGTTCATCACGGGCCTGTGCAAATGTCATCTTCTTGGTTGCTCCATTAGTGCTCTCTGCACACTTCAATCATCACACATTCACTCCTTCTGCTGGGCTGGGAGAGCTCCTAGAAAGAGGGATTGAAATTGTATTCATGTCCATCATGCAGTTTGTGCGTGGCAGCTCAGACCTGCTACAGGTGGGCGGCCAGCAGTCAATGAAGGGGGTGTGGTCAGCTTTCTTCTTCCTTTCTACTCTTACTCTCCCACATTGCTAACCTGACTTTCTGACCCTTCAAGCACTGAAGCCAAGGCAGGGCTTAGAAAATCTTTAATGTATTCTCTTTCTCTTCCGGACTTTTGTTTTTTTTTTTGCCAGGCTGGAGTGTAGTAGTGTGATCTTGGCTCACTGCAACCTCTGCCTCCTGGATTCAAACAATTCTCCTGCCTCAGCCTCCTGAGTAGCTGGGACTACAGGCACACATCACCACACCTGGGTAATTTTTGTACTTTTAGTAGAGACGGGGTTTTGCCATAATGGCCACGCTGGTCTTGAACTCCTGACCTCAAGTGATCCACCCGCCTCAGCCTCCCAAAGTGCTGGGATTACAGGCATGAGCCACTGTGCCTGGCCTCTCTTCTGGACACTTTCATGGCTTCTTTGAAGACATTGCTGATACTCTTGCCTGGAGTTCCCTCAACCCAAGTGAATAGATCTCTACTGTGGTAGTGCACAGGAGCTCTCATCCTCCCCCAATTGCCTGGTCATGATAGAAACCCCAAGCCAGTCTTTTTCCCCTACTCACTCAACCCACATTTGGACAAGCTTGGAAAGCCTGCCCTGCTGCCCTCAGAAAGCCTCACTACAGAAGTAATGAAGATTTTTATACCTTGTTGATGTAGGTCTGGTATCTGTCTTGACATCTGAACCGGATTTTCAATGAAGGTCCATTCTGCAGAAGAAGGGGTTTATATAATAACTGGTACAGCAAACAGGATAACCACAATATTTATTGTGTCTGATATTAGTATAGCCAGTCCATTTCTCCTGTGGTTGCTGTTTGTATATCTGTTTTGTGTATCTTTTTCCATCCTTTCACCTTCAACCTATTTGTATCTTTCAATCTAAAATGTCTCCTGTAAGCAGCATATAGTTGTATCTTGTCATTTAAAAAATCCAATCAGATATCTCTTTCTTTTGATTGGATTGTTTAATCTAGTCACACTTAATGTTATCACTGGTGTGGTTGGATTTACATCTGTCCAACCATACCAGTGTTTTTCTGTGTTTCATGTTCATGTCTTTTTTCCCCCCCTATTTCTCCTTTATGTTTCCTTTCAAAAATAGACTTCATTTCTAGGACTTTTTGGATTTACAGAAAAATTGAGAAGATAGCAGGGATCCTGTATATGTTGTCCCCAGGTTTCCCTATTATTAACATTTTGCATTGGTATTGACAATTGTCACAATTAAAGAACCAGTATAGAAACATTCTTATTCACTAAATTCCATAGTTTACTCAGATTTCCTGTTTTTGAAAAGAAATGTGGCAAAATGTATACAACATAAAATTTATGATTTTATCCACTTTTAAGTGTAAAGTTCAGTGACATTAGTACATTCACATTGCTGTGCAGCCGTCACCACTGTTCATCTCCAGAACATTTTCATCTTCCCGTTAAACACTGTACCTATTAAACACTAAGTCCTTATTCTCTCCTCCTTCAGTTCCTGGCAATCACCATTCTCTTTTCCGTCTCTATGAATTTGACTGCTTAGGTACCTCATGTAAGTGGAATCATATAACATTTATCTTTTTGCGTATGGCTTATTTCACTTTGTGTCATGCTGTCAAGGTTCATGTATGTTATTGCGTGTGTCAGAATTCCCTTCCTTTCAAAGACAGAATCATATTCTATTGTATGTATGTACCACATTTTGTTTACCCATTCATCTATCAATGGACATTTGAGTTGTTTCCACGTTTTGGCTGTTGCGAATAATGCTGCTGTGAATGTGGACATGCAAACATCTGTTTGAGTTCCTCGTTTCAGTTCTTTTGAGTATATACCCCATGTTTCCTTAGTTTTTATTTAATGTATTTTTTTGTTCCCAGATCCGATTTATGATATGTTACATTTAGTTTGCATGTCTCCTTAGGCTCCCCTTGGCTGTAACGATTTCTGATTTTTCTCGTTTTTGATAACCTTGATGGTTTCAAGATCAAGGAGTACCAGTCAGGTATTTTATAGGATGCTCTTCGATTGGAATTTGGAATTTGCCTAATGTTTTTCTCACACGTAGAGTGGTGTTATAGGGGTTTAAAGGAAAACCATGGATGTCATGGGTCATTTTCATCACATCGTATGAAGGGTAGATAGTATCAACATGATTTGTCACTGTTGATATTTACCTTGAACACTCAGCTGAGATAGTGTTTGTCAGGTTTCTCCACACTAAGTTACCCCTCTTCCATAGTACTCTTTGGAAGAAAGTCATTATGAACAGTCCATATTTAAGGATTGGGGTTTTATGGTCCTTTCGTTAAAGGAAGAGTATCTACATAAATTATCTAAAATTCTCTTGCCAGGAGATTTGGCTCTTCTCCCCCATTTATTTATTTATTCAATCATTGTTTTAGATTAGTATGGACCCATGAATATTTATTTTGTACTGTGGATTATAATCTAATACTATTTTGTTCATTTTTTTTTTTGCTCAAATGGTTTCAGCTTTGGCCACTGGGCGCTCTTTCTGTTGGCTTCTGTGACCCCTTGGACATACCCCTATCAATGTAGGGGTTTTGTTTGCTTTTAGCACTTCCTTACTTTCTGGCACTATAAGATGCTCCAGGTTTATCTTCTATTTTCTGCCCAAGTGCTAGTTTCAGTCATTTCTTCAAGAAACCCTGTTTCCTTTTATTAGAGGATGGTATTTGAAACCAAGGTCTGGGAGATGTGTGCTCACAACTGCTGTTTCCTTGCAGGTCTCACAATTTTGTGTTGAAACTAGACACTGTAATAATATTTTACAGCAGCCGTGGACACGGACTCCCTTCCTTCCCAACCCCCAGGACTGGTGGTGGTTGTTGTATGTTTTGTCATTTGTTTATTTGTTTAATGATTGGACCGAACTAATCCTGTGATGTCTGTTTCTCCCACAGTGTGCAACCTCTGACGTCCATGCTTAGATATTTTCCCCTTGTTTTTATCTTTTAGTTTGGCTACCTAGGGACTGCTCCTGGGTCTGGGTCCACATAAACCACTCGTTGGGCAAAGGTGGTACTTAAGCCCCCTTAGCCAGTTATATTTTTACTCTTTATCTTTGGATGTGTGTGTGACTTACAGGCTGCCATAATAATTCAGAGAATTTATGTTTATTGCCCCCATATTCAGCCATGGACTAGTAGCTTGGAGTTTCTTTCTCTAATTGCTCCCAAGAAGGCTTAGTCTTGGGCATGCCATAATCTTCCAGTTTGCCCAGGGTGAGTGTGATTTTTTTTTTTTAAGACGTAGTCTAGCTCTGTCGCCCAAGGCTGGAGTGCAGTGGCCGGATCTCAGCTCACTGCAAGCTCCGCCTCCCGAGTTTTTTTACGCCATTCTCCTGCCTCAGCCTCCCGAGTAGCTGGGACTACAGGCGCCCACCACCTCGCCCGGCTAGTTTTTTTGTATTTTTAGTAGAGGCGGGGTTTCACCGTGTTAGCCAGGATGGTCTCGATCTCCTGACCTCGTGATCCGCCCGTCTCGGCCTCCCAAAGTGTTGGGATTACAAGCTTGAGCCACCGCGCCCGACCAAAGCAGCAAAGCTTTTTTTTTTTTTTTTTTTTTTTTTTTTTTGAGACGGAGTCTTGCTCTGTCCCCCTGGCTAGAGGGCAGTGGCGCGATCACGGCTCACTGCAAGCTCCTCCTCCCGGGTTCCCGCCATTCTCCTGCCTCAGCCTCCCGAGTAGCTGGGACTACAGGCGCCGGCAACCGCGCCCGGCTAATTTTGTGTGTGTGTTTTTAGTAGAGACGGGGTTTCACCGTGTTAGCCAGGATGGTCTCGATTTCCTGACCTTGTGATCCGCCCGCCTCGGCCTCCCAAAGTGCTGCGATTACAGGCGTGAGCCACCGCGCCCGGCCGCTGTGATTTTATTTTTAAGCCTGGCTTCCTAGGAGTCACCCCTGGGTCATGAAGGCTTATTTTTCAAGCCAGTGTTGGGTCAGAGGTTGTGTTTAAGCCCCTTGTGCCTGGGAGGATCCTACCTTGTGTTGCCTGTGATCCCAGGAGGGCTTTTCCTGGCTGCTCTTTGTCCGATTCTGTCTATTGAACTTCTGAATGCTCTGCTGTTTTGTTTGTATCCTGGAGCTACTGGCTTCTTCTTATTCTCCACCAAGATTTCCCTTGTTTTGGACAACATCCTTAGGCATGGAGTTCTCCATTCTCTGTTTCAAATAGCCCCTGCAGGCAGAGCTGCAGAGCTGTACATCCTGGGGGTCACCACATCCCCTGGGCAGTACCCTGTGCCACTGCACCAGATCTAGGGGTTATACTCCAGCTCTGTAAGCCGGCTGGGGGAGGAAGTGCCAGCCCCTGGTCTTCTCAGCCTGTCCTTTCTAACATAGAACTTCTCCTGTGGGTGAGTTGGGGCAAGGGTGATCAGAGCCCCAGGATTCTCAGTGAGCTACAATTGTGTAGGACTGGGGAAAGGAGCCCTGTCCTCTGGGGCAAGCCTGCCTTGAATAGAGCTTCTGCAACACCAGGCTGGAAGGAAGAGAATGAGTAATGCCACTGGCAACGTGCCCCTCCCGGGGTGAAACCATAGGCCTAGACCGTGTGCTGTGGGGAGAGGAAGTCCCTATCTTCTTGGCTGTTCATGGTCAGGGTACAGTTTCTGTGACATGGAACTGAGTGGGTGGGGAGGAGAGTTAAAGAAGTAGGTCATGGCTAAAATGCCACACACTTGCCATTTTTATAAAACTTGGTAGATTATGTTAAATGAATATTTTTCCATTTGTCCTATGTTCTTAGGACAATTTCCAGAAACTGTAAATGATGTATTTTGATTTTTATAATTATCACCGGTTAAATTGTTTTGCTGGGGAGAGGTTTCACCAGAAGTCCTACCCGTCCTATCTTAATACTCTTTTATATCACCATTATGATCCCGACCATGAATACTGGAGAAAGTCTTCTGAGATATTAAGGTTGCTGTTGCCACAGATTGCTTGGTGGGGAGTTGAAGTTTGAGAATCAATGAGAATGTAAGGTCATTTTTGAGGATTAAAGAAAGAACTGGCATGGTCGTTAGTGGGAAAGAGGTGCTGGAAATGGGTTTCATTTTCATCTGTGGCCTCTGAGTGTAATTCAGGTAGATGATTTTTACTCTGGTCTTCTTACTACATTCATTCTAGTGTTCTGGCGATCTTGATATTAGCCATCTGATGTTTCCTTAGGCATGTGAGATGATATCAGCATCAAATAACATCTGTTCACTGTGAGGAGAGAGAATGCACTTTAATTGCAGCGGGAGGAATTTGGGCTAAATGTCAGTAGATAGTCTCTGATCATAAATGTCAGCCCAAGAGGCCTTTTTCAAGTGTAAATCAGATCATGCCACTCTCCTGATTCCAGACCCCCAATAACTGCCCAATGCAATTAGAGTCAAGTTCACTCTTCTAGCCAAGACCTACATTTCATTTCACTCTTTCTGTCACTGACCATGCTCCAGTCACTGGGGCTTGCTTTCTGCCCTTCAAGCCCAACAGGCTTGTGCCTGCCCTGGGACCTTTGCATTAGCTGGTTTTTCTATCTGGAATGCCCTTGCCTAGATCTCTATGTGGTAACTCTGATGAATAGTCTCAACTCCAAGGTCACTCCTTGGAGAGGCCTTTCTGGACCACAATATCTAAGGTAGGTTCTTCACACCCCCAGGCTTCGGTGTTTTATGTTTATTATTGAGATGCCTCTGTT